ACAAATTTTCAAATCAACCTCTATATAGGCAACCTAAATTACACGTACAATTCTTTAAGTTAAGTTATGTACATACATTTTATGTCAAAGTGAACATAACCTAACAAATTTTATATTATTTTCTTGCTTAAAAGATATATTTCGAGATAAAGGTAATAATTAATGAGTTTAATGAGATTATTTGTTTAAGTTTAAAGAACCAAACACATTATTAGTTATATAAACTCATTTGTATTTCTAAAGAGATTTGAGGATGAACATGTTGAGGGGTTTAGTCAATAAAATTCAGCCGATTAATTTGGTTACAAATAACTTTATGGATATGCAAGGTGAGTACTGTTTTTTGTTCTTAATTTAAGTTTAATTTTTTAAATAATTTTTACGATTTTATATGAAATGTCAAATGGGATTCAAAAGGGTTAATACCGCAAAAATTTAAGTAAATGCAATTTATTATGTTTTTCGATATAAATTATGATCGTGAAATAACGGTAGTTTAAGTAATAATAAAAGTTTTTAATCTAAAATAAGGTTTAATTTAATTTAAAAAAATTATGTGTTAAATGAGTTGCCTATATGTGGATACCGGAAAAGATATTGATGTACAACATAAAAATTAAGTTTATACAAATTAAGATTGTACAAAAACGAACTTAGTGGATCCCAAAAAGATGGGATTAATTTCCAGGGAATCCAGCGGAGCAGAATTAAGTAATAAGAGAGAAGAATAGTACAAAGATACAGTGTGTTAATTAATTATTGTACCCGACAAAGCATGCAACCAATATCACAGATTGTAAAGTAGTGGTTATTTTGATTTATTTATTGACTTACCGCATAAAGCAACCGCTAGAAACAACGATAGTAAAGAACTTCGAAAAATATAAAGGAAGCTAAAACGGTTAAAGAACAAAGAAAATACGGAAACGGATACGGAAACACGAGATACAAGAGAGTGGAAGCTGATCCTAGAACAGGTCAAGATCCATCAGGGGTTGTGGTGCCAATGATGATGATGAGCTCTTCAAAAACCTTTTAAGGACCAAGACTATTTGATTGCATCTAGGAATCTCTGAGTATTTTATCATAAACACTTTTTTTTGACGATATTATACGTGAAATGACCCAATACAAGGCAGTTATTTATCATTATAGCTCTACAGCTCGTTGGATCTTTCAACAGTTCCTTCCAACCTTGTTCATCCCGCGCTTGTTGTCTCCAACCCCTGATCTTCGACCTTGTTAGGTTCAGCCAATCGATTTTCTACCCATAGGTCCACGGCGATCAAAGATAATTCTTGTGGTACCTTTCTAATCAAATCACAACAGTCACAAACAGTACATTCATAATCAAAATCAATAGGTTAAGGTTGGCTCGGACATCTAGAAAGGATGGATGACGAGGAAGTCCCAAAGCACATTTTGCACCAAACAGTTTTTGGAACCCGCAAGAGAGGCAGTCCTAATACATAAATCAAGCACGATTCCGAGGTTGAACCTTTTAAAGACCTTATGTCACAATCAATACATTCATTATCATTATTTTCTTTTGATGCTATAGTGTCGATACTTTCTCATCAAGGAATATTGATTTCTCTTTGCTGCGCGAGGTACCAAATTTAGTCTATGTGTAGGAAAGTTACAATATATAAATACCAACGGAGAAAACAAAATGTATGGTAATATCCAAAGAACCAAGACGCAAACTACAAGTTCAAGACTCTATAATAGAAGAAGTTACGCATGTTAAATATCTAGGTGTAGAAATTACAAGCTATCGAGAGCTATGTAAGGAAGCACAAGTTACAACAGCGACACAAGTGGTAGACTGTCTAAAGGACACTATATGGCGGAACAAATACATGCGTAGAAAATAGTGGTGCCTACGAGAGTCTGTAATAATAAGAAATATCTGCAATATTTCTGTAAATATTTTCGTATCTACACGCTGGAATTGCAGTACTGATATGTTGAAAGTACCTCTTGAAGGTAGACATGGACTTGGTGCATTGTGTCAAAATGTTGTTGATTTAAAACCATATTCTCTTGAGGACAAAGAATGGATACTGCTAGAAGAAGTGCATAAATTACTAGTAACTTTTAAATACTTTCCAAGAAACTCGGAGGAAGGAAGTACGTCAAATTACCTATGGTGGTTGTATGTATCAATATACTAATAAATCATATTGAGAGCAAAATATTTGCATGGGGCCGAAAGGCAGAACTAAAAAAAGGTAAAACTAATTAGATTTATGCTGCAGTTTTAATTCTCGATTCGCGGCATAAGATAGAAGTTTTTTTTAGACTTCGATTCAGAAATTTGAAGATGTATACAAAGCCTATTTCCATCAATCAGAAGGCGTCAACGTTCGAAGTAACGGCATTGGAGGAACGAGAAGATTCTAGAGTGGAAAAGTCGGATTTTGTAAGTGATTTTAAATTTTGGTATGCAGTAAATCCAAATCCTACGCCTTCCGAAGACGATGGATGCAGGAGCTTCAAAAATATTATTCTATGCCTCGGTGTAATAAAGACACAGATATATTATAATGGTGGAAAATTCATGCTTCTGAATTTCCTATTTTAAGTTTAATGACACGAGATCTCTTAAGCATACCGGCTACTTCAGTCCCGGCGGAATGATTATTCTCACGTGCTGCATTAACTATAAGAAAACATCGAAATCGCCTTAATAATAAATCTGCGCGATGTTTGTTATGCCTAAACGATTGGGCGAAAAACAAAATTATTTGCGACCGACAGGGTTGAGGGCTGTAATTCTTTCTTCCGAGTCTTACAATATAGCAAGTATTTAAGTATTCCTTATTGCACTGAAACAATAAGATTATACATGACGAGATTACGATACTTTTATGAGACTCTCGTACGAGAAACGAGAGAGAAATGAAAATCTCGTCTCGTTGGTCTCGTGCGAACCACTAGTAGAAAAGGAAAATATATAAAACCATGGTACGACCCATACTAACATATGGTACCGAGACAATAGCTGAAACAAAGAAGACTAAACAGAGGATGAGGGTGATGGAGATGAAAGAGTAAGATCTATATTGAATATGATACTGCGAGATAGGCAGACCAACACCTTTATCAGAGAGAGATGTAACATACAGGATGAAGTCAAATGGACAAAGGTAAGAAAGAAAAGGTGGAAGGAGTATGAAAGAATGGATGAGAAGAGATTTGCTAGAATATGCATGTATGGACGACCGCCCAAGAGATGGGCACGAAGCTAGTTCTCCTTGTCCGCGAAGTAAAGTCCAAACATAAGGCTTGATAAACAGGGATGCATCCCTACTCAGAAGTAGAAGAAGAAGGAAAGTTTATATCTGCTTCCATTTTTTGCGTAAACTTGGATGTTTCTTTCCCCTTGTTGTTTGTCCTAACTTTTGTTGCACGTTAATTTTTCCTCATAATATTCACCAAACACAATTTTGTATTTCCCACAGAATGTTCCTTTATCCAGAAAATAGAGAAATAGACAGTTAAAATGTTCTGCACACTCTCTTTGTACCTTATAAATACGCAAGAAAGTTGAATGTACACCATATCAATTTAATTATAGACTTCATACTAAATTGATTGAAATGTGATTTATTTTAAATTATTATTTTTGTTGTTATACCAAAAAGTCTCACCATCCCTATCACCATTATAACAGGAAATAGTCTAAAAATAGTGGGAGGAGTTATTGTCAACGATTGGTCGAAGAAATGACCGATGAGACACCACCCTCTTTCTCTCTCTACCCAAAAACCTGGTCAAAATATCGGTAAAATTGGCAAAACATCTTTACCAAGGTCAGTCGTAAACTGACCTTTCATTGCAACATTGCAAACGATTAAAGACAAAATGTATTTTTACGGTGGTGAATTAGTACAAGTTAAAAATGAATCCCAAGATATCCCTTTGGATTTATCAAGGAAAAAAGAAACCACTCCAGAACCCGTCGAAAAAACCGAAATAAAACCGGACAATCAAGAAATTACTAATTTAGATTCAAATTCAATTGAAGTAAGACCATTTAAAGCGTACCAAAGAAATCCGTTATCGATTATGAGTATGTTACCATTAAATGTGGCTGAAGATGATGCTGAAACGATGGAAGAAAAATATCAAAAATTTCGATCTGTTAGTTTGGCTAAATTACGGCCGAGAACCTCATCGAATCAAAATATGCGCCGAACGAATCATTGGAAACAAAACGAGGATCCACTTTATCGAGAAAAAAGAGAAAAAAATAATTTAGCCGCGAAAAGATCGAGGGATGCGCGAAAATTACGCGAAGATGAGCTAACGATACGCGTCGCGTTTTTAGAAGCAGAATTAATCAAGCTAAAAACGTTAATTGACCAAGATAACGTTGTTTTACAGAATATTCGGGGTAAAATTGAGGAAAAAAAATTTTTGGTTTCGCAGCAAAACGAAAGATTAGATCAATTGAAACAAGTTTATTTCTACGAATTAAATAATTTAAACAAACTAAGATAAAAAGCGTAAATTTTGATGTATAATAAAATATTGTAAATAGATTATTTTAAATAAATATATGAAAGTTTTATTTTAATTCCGATTTCTTTAACCTTGAAAGAACTCAAAAATATTACGTCAACTTAAAGTTAACATCAAAATTCTTTAACTAAAAACCTAATTTGAATCCCATTAAAACACAATAAACGTTTTATTTATATTTCAATTAAGTAATAACTCGTTATTTGCGTAATTTGTTTATTTTCAGAGCGAACAATGTCTTCGTTAAGAAAAATGTTAAAATCGGGACCGAGAATGAAAGATCGTCCCTCAAAAAACCCATTGGATGGTAATCCTTTTATGAAAGGAATCATTTTAAAAACTTTAATTAAAAAGCCGAAAAAACCGAATTCGGCGAACCGGAAATGCGTCCTCGTTCGATTAACGAATGGGAAAGAAATGGTTGCTTATATTCCCGGAATTGGACACACTTTACAAGAACACAACATCGTCCTGTGTCAAGTTGGAAGAGTTCAAGATTGCCCCGGGGTTAAATTAAAGTGTGTTAGGGGAAAATATGATTTAGGACATGTAATACCAAGAAAATTATAACAGTGTTTTTAAGAAGTAGTTTAAATTGAATAAAAATTTCAAAACGCGTGGCATCTTTTAAAAAAATCCTCTTCTAATTTATGACCCTTTTCTGGTGACAACCTGGGCATCAACAACAAAAAAAAGGAACCGTTTTTTTTCTTTCTCAACACGATGACATTCACCTAATTCCGTTTAAAAAGAAAGGAGAAAGCTAAGAGAAGATATTTCACCCCCTTTCTATTCATTGTCAGACGATTTTTAAGTAAAATTGCGTGTTTTACTTGGAAAAGAAAGTTTCATATCAAAATACATCTCAAAAATCAAGATTGATCGCAATCGAATTATTACTTTTAAAAGAACATCGACACATTTTAAAGTTTTCTTTTAAAGTTTTGTTGCAAAAAAGAGTACGCAGTTTTGTTCAAATATGTCACTTGTCATACATCCATACAAATATGAGAGTTATTGTTAAGCCTTTTTCTGTCGACTGTCGTGGTTTACTTTTCCCAAGAGTCCCTCGAAGACGAAGCTTTGTGTTAAAGCTTTGTCGTGATTGATGTCTCTGTCGTTTGTTCGGCCTAATAACTGTATATAATGTGGGCCTAGTTTCGTTCCATTCTTTCGCGGATATAACGGGTTACCAGTATAATTTTTGGGTAACTTCTGGGAGATGATGGTTTGAAGGTTTTCGAGAAAATTACTACCACCTGTCCTTATAACGTATTTTTTCTTTTAATTTACATTTTGAAAAATATACAGTAAATTTTACTTAAAATGCAATATACAAAAATATATTTCCATAGAAATCAGGGCATACCTACTTACTTTGTCCCACATAAAATGCAACATGTCTGAATGCTTCTAGTTCTAGGTCTAATGTTAGTTCTAGTGACAATGGTAGGTAGCGTTAGTTAACATAAGATATCACTATGTTGCATATTTTTATTGAACTAACACTAGACCTAGAACTAGAAACATTCGGGTTTAGCCGTCTTATGAGACGTACGGCTAACCCGAATGTTTCTAGTTGTAGGTCTAGTGTTAGTTCTAGTTTTATATCAGCATTATCACTAGAACTAACACAAGACCTAAAGCTAGAATCATTCGGATTTAGCCGTCTTGAAAGACGTGCGACTAAATCCGAATGTTTCTAGTTTTAGGTCTAGTGTTAGTTCTAATATTGCAGTATCACTAGAACTAACACAAGACCTAGAACTAGAATCATTCGGGTTTAGCCGTCTTGAGGACGTGTGGCTAAACCCGAATGTTTCTAGTTCTCGGTCTAGTGTTAGTTCCAGTTTTATACTAGCACTATCACTAGAACTAACATAAGACCTAGAACTAGAATCAATATTTCTAGTTCTAAGTCTAATGTTAGTTCTACTTTTAATTGTTATTCAGCGTTAGATTGTGGTATATTTTTATTGAACGAAAAGTAGAACTAACATTAGATCTAGAACTAGAAACATTCGGGTTTAGCCGTGCGTCAACCAAAAACTCAGGGTTATCATAAGGACGTCACCTTTTTCCTATTAAGCTATGTTGCATTTTATGAGGGGCAGTGCAAGTGCATAGTAGTTTCATAACTATGGTTACTGCATTCATATATTGCGAGTTATTTGAAATTCCCGGTATAATCAATATATTACTATTTACTCTATATTAGAGTTAATACAACTTTTTCTTTTCAGTGTTACCTTCATTGAGTCACTGATTTGCGACTAATTGTGAGTAATCTTTGGTTGGTAGTAAAATAAAATCGATTGTCCAGTAGCTGATAGATTACCGATCAATAACTAGGTAATGAAAGAATTCTGATTCTGTTTGAAGATGCACGATGTCGAAAACATGGGCAACGTATGGTAAGTATGCGCACCAAACTGTGGAGATTATGATATGGGTTGCTATTACACTTTGGTGTAAACTAATTTTTGACCAAGATCGACTTCCAGATAGTCCAGATATAGATATGAGGCGGTCGACGTTATGGACACCACTGCTATAACTTATGGTAGTAAGTCTCATTTGATATTTCTCCCAGACAATATGAACGTCCAGCCATATGAGGGTAAAGTGGTAGAACCCCATATTTTTTCATTTCTTCATACAGTTGGAAGACTCATTTTTGCAGCAAGTAAGTCTTACATAGCGAATTATAGGTTGCTTGTATATAATGACTCGAAAATTGAATTGATGCCACGAAAAGTGGGGAAGCCTGTAACCAACAAACTATAAATTTTAGTAGTGAAACGTTTCTGGCAAGTTTGATGAAAAAATTCTTCGCAACACCAAGAGGTCTGGTGGAGATAATTACACGATCCTAGAGTGGCATAAAGTAGTGATGAATTCTGATTCTGTTTTAAGATGCATGATGACCGTAAGGATGACGAAAATATGGGCAACGTATGGTAAATTATGATATGGGCTGCTATAACTTGTGGGAGTAAGCATTTCTCCCAGACAATATGAAGCTCCAACCACATGAGGGCAAAGTGATAGAACCTCATATTTTTTTTATTTCTTCATACAGTTGGAACACTCATTTTTCCAGTAAGTAAGGGAATTGAGAATTTTTCTGCATCCTGCAGACTCTACAAGTCCTACATTGCGAATTACAAGTTGCTTGTATATAATGGCTCAAGAGGAAATCGATAATCTTATAAACAGTTGCTACGAAAAGTTGGAAAGCCTATAACTGACCCATTATTAATTTTAATAGTGAAACGTTCCTGTCAAGTTTGATGAAAAAATTCTTAGCACCTCTTGGTGTTGCGATTTCCATGTAATTTTGATATATTTACTGCAGCTTGGATAGCTTGGGTTATTTTTGTTTATTTCGCCTTCGCTCTCCTAACCACCTTGTGGGTTGGGTTGGATTACAGGAAAAATAATTTACAATAAGTATAGATCTTGGGATAATCTCCATTGCAATCGCCTGTGAATATTTCTTCCGCCCAAATTGTAGAGTTCTGTTGATGTGAACATGTGTAATCGTTTGTGGAACTTTTTGATTTTCGTTGAAATAAACTCTTTAATCGTTTTAAAGCCCAATTCGTTGTGTAGTTGCTTGGTTGTGATAAACCATTCGCCTTCCACAGCTATTTTAAGTATCTTATTTTGTAGTGCACACAACTTTTTCCGATTAGATTCCCCATATCTGACAGGCGTACATCACCATTGGGCGAATTAACGAGGTTAAAATTAAAATTGAAATTAGAATAGTGCATTCAGGTTTAAGGGAAAATTTCCTGTTTATGATACTATATAATTCAGCTAGTCTCCCATAAGCTTTATTTAGCTTCAAGTTGATATGATATTTCCAAGTGAGTCTTGTATCCAAATGAATCCCCAGATATTTTACTCTATCTGTTTGTTCGTTGATAACTAATTCTTGAGGGTTGGGCTATTTTTATGAATAGCTGTTTTAACATCAGCTTGCAGGCTTAAAATCGTTCATGCCTCAAGGAAAGTGATCCCTGTTTTGGCACTAAACGGATTATTGTTAATTTACTATCTCTTGGTGTGACTCTCCCAGATCTTCATTGATACTATTTCGTGCCATATCAGCATCAGTGGTAAATGAGGATCTTTCAGAATAACCTTTTTTATCGCTAGGATAACTTCAGTATCAGTGATGTAAAAATAGAAATGGTTTGACAACGATATTTCTTAGTATTCGCTTACCACGAAAAAATTGACACAGTTATTACCATAAAGCTGGTATGTTGAAGAGAGGCTGCTACTAATACTAATAACAGACATCGTGATTGATAATGTATCACCAGAAGAATTTATCAAAGATTCGCTGTTTTTTCAGCTTTTTGCAACATAGTTTCCAATCTGCAGTATTGGCAATGTAAATCTTCTATTCATGATATACTTTAAGTAAAAGTATAAAGAAGAATACTCTTAAAAAAGTTTAGGTTTGGATCTCCCTCCATTTCATTCATTAATCCTTTTCTATGATAATTAATTCCTTAGATGGTTGTTATCTAGGTTCAGTAAGTTTTAAATATTATCTTATTCGGTGTTAATAAGCAAATTTCCCAAAAAATGTGCTTTAAATTTCGTGAAAACTATTTACGAACTGTATCACATCCTACAAAAAATATTGTTTAGATGATTTAGTCGAGCTTCCACTCTTCCCATTGTGTTGTTTCAGACATTATATTAAGCCAACATGATATAAACAAATGTTAATCTTGCAAAAATAATCAAAATTCGTTTATTATGTTATTTATAAAATTTTTAGAATACTCTTTATTATAACATAACTTATTACATTACAATTTTTCCCCTTTTCCACTAATCCTTCTTGCATCCCGTTATATATCCTTCTTTGACCTTGATCCCTATGATACAAAAGCTGTTCAAAACTGTATTGCGGATAAAAGAGCAACGGAATACGGAACTCAAGGGATGTATTCGGTGGTCTTCATTCGCCCCACATTATGGATTGTTTGTGTGGGAACACCCTCGCCAAAGTGCATCTGTCACCTGGCACACTGAAAAAGGGTCAAAATAGGTCAATACCCGTTATTTGATTTGACCCCGATTTAGCAATTTAAAAAATTTTTGCTTTTCTATTTCCGCAACTAAAATTAATAACGAATTTAAGTTGATAAAAACGAACGAAAGTTTTTAGAGGTTTACTTAAAAAAAATGCAATATACCGTGATATGAGCAACCCATTGTGGTCAGTTCTATTCATGTGTCACCGTGGACAGTGTCCATATTCTGGACCACCTGCTCCTTTACCACTAAAAAGGGTAAAAACAGGGTCGGATTTAAAAGTTTAACTAAAATTTTAACTAAACACTAAATATTAAGTTAAATCAAAATTCTTTTTTTAAAACATAAATTTAAAATGGTAACATTAACTCAACAAAATCATAAATAATCGTAATAAAAATAATAGGGATTTCATTTTTAATGGTGCTAAATACGTCTCTGTACCGTTTTCGGTTTTTGTGACGAGATCATAATCTCGGGATTACACTTATTCCGTTTGACTATTGTCCAAGTCTGTCACTTCCATTCGAAAACCTCGTCTCTGACGTGAGTT